GGGGGGGGGCCTTTCTCGCCCATTTGGATCGCTTTGGAGCGCAGGGCGGCAGAACTGGGCGACCGCACTTCACTGGGAATGGACCCCTGACGCAGAGCAGGGGCCTGGTCGCGGCTGCTCCCCTTGTCCCATCTAGGCCCCAAGTCCTGGGCGGTGCGGGCTTGACAGCTCTGCAAACTGAATGCCCGGCTGCGGCCGGCCGGGGAGTCGGTGCGCTCCAGACAGCTGTGCGCTGCGCGGCTTTGCAGCCCAGAGTGCAGGCTCTCGGGTAGCAGAGGGGTTCCTCTCCAGTTTCCCTACAGAGGGCCTCACTTCTAGGCGCCTGCGCTCTGGGTGGGCTCGTTCTCTACCCCAGGGCCCCGGAGGCTTGGGACAAGGAGCCCAAGATCTCCAAGGGGCTTGGAGAAGCTGCAGTTGGCGCCGCCAGCCTTCGAGGCGCCCTGCCAGAGTGCAGTGGTCTCCCCATCCTTACCTCCTGTGCGGCCGGCTCCTCGGGGGTCTGTGCGCGGTTCACTCCCGGGGCTCCACCCGCCCGGAGCATAGCGCCGGGCTGGGATCGGGACGTCGTGGCCACAGCTGCGGACTCTGTCCTCGAGCCAGCTCGGCGCGCTCCCCTGGCCCTTCACGTGACTCTGGCGGACACGGCTCGCTGCGGCCCCGCAGGCGGAGGACCAGCGGTGGGCGCGGCGGGCTCCCCCGCTCCGGCCCCTTCCTCGGAGGGCCTCCCGGCCTCCCCGCCGCGCACTACAGCCGGGGCGGGGACGCCGGTCCCGCGGGGCGAGGGCTGGCGCGCCAGGGATAGAGGTCAAGAACTCCGGGCTGGCCTGGCGACAAATCGCTGCAGCTGCAGCCCCGTTCCCCGGGCCGCGTGACTGTGCCTAACCCCGGGGCCTGTGACTGTGCCTGTCTTTCTGTACCTATAAGACAGAAATGAGGCCTTCCTCCCAGGGTTGATCTAAGAATTGATTGAGCTCATACCTATTCAGCGGCTGCACTAACGGGTGCCTGGCGGTAAATATTGGCTCCCTCCCTTCCCTAGTGGAACTCCGGAAAGAACTAAGGGTGGACTTTGAGTCCCCTGAGGCACATACCCAAGAAGGGCCTGGGGTCAAGGAAGGTACCTCAGATCCTCCTGCCTTCCTCCTGGCCAGAACCCTCCTGATAGATGCTTAGGATTGCCAAAACTGCTGAATTTTATAGAGAAAGCGGAAATGTAGATTTTCATGAAATTTCCCCGATTAAAAATGTTGCTCATGATTCAAAACAACAGTAGTGAATATTTACAGGCCAGTTCTTAGCTGGGCATTGGCCAGAGCAGCATGTGGTCCTCGGCTCATAGCAACCAAACCCTGGGCTCATAGCATCCAATTTCATGATACCTCTGCAGAGGAAGAAGAGGTCCAGCCAGCCTAGGGCAGGCTCTGGTCACCTGGCAGAAAGTATGGTGCCCCCATGGATGTATGGTTATCAGAATTCTGGCTAGCAAAGTCCAGGTTCCAACCTTTGGTAAGCCCAAAAGACCCCACATCTGAATCTTTAAGACTGTGAATCTATTGTTTTGCAACTCAAAAGAGACTTTGCACATGTAATTGATGCTGCTAATCAGTTGACCGTTACATAAATTATCATGGACTATCTAAATTGGCACAAATGGAAGAATCATGAATCCTCAAAAACAGAAAGAGGTGGAAAACTGAGAGACCTTAGAAAGGACTCATTGTGTCTCTGTTTTGTAGCTAGGGACTGAGGTAGGGTGTGGGGAACTTTAGGTACCAACCTCAATAAGCCTGGAAGAGAATTTTCCCCTATAGCCTCTAGAAAGAAGCACAAACTTGCCAACCCCTTTATTTCAGCAGTAAGAGACTCAAAGCATAAAATCCAGCTACATCTTGATGGGTTTCTGACCAATAGACTGTGAGATAAAAAAGAAATGTTATTTTAGTCACTGATTTTATGGCATTTTGTTACATAGCAAAAGAAAAAAAAAAACAGACACGGGCTCACATTTCAGTGTGGAGCTGGGTTTTGGCCTAAGCATGACCTGCCATGAGGAAGGCCACAGGCCCCACATCCATTGTGCATGCCAGGCACTGTGATTGCCACTGCCCACCTTCTCTGGTCCTTACATCATATCCCTGCAAGCTTTTCTCAACTTCTCTAAGCCAGTGGATTATTTTCCCTCTGTGGTCCCACACTTTCCATGAAAACAAGCACATGGGGTTTCCATTCTTCTTCTTGCAAATGCTTTCTCACCCCACTGAGCCAGGGGGTCAGGAAGAGGGGCCAGAAACCCTTCATCCCTGAATGAGCAACTTCTAGCACAGAGCAGACACAGGAGATAGGTGAAATGGTCCAGCAGAAGTTATACCAGCTTGTAGCCAATAATCCATGTCTAAAGGTTATCTGAAATAATTATTTCTTATAACTTTATTGTGTATGTTACCATAAAAGCCTCTACATATACTTTTGAAAAGATATTTATTCTTTTTTTAAGAGATGATTATGGAATTGTTGCTTTATGGGGGAGGGGGACATTTAAAAATTTTTTAAAAATAAATGTATACATATTCATTGCAAGAAGTTGAAACAGATAGACAACTGTTAAAAAGGTTTGCTGAGTACACTTCAACACATCTCTCTTTATATACACACACTGCATGTATGCAGTTCTGAGCAATTGGGATTACAGCCTTTGTTGCCAACACTGCTAATCCCCACCTATTTACTATCCACAGCCTCCCAGGAACCCAGACTCAAGTCAGGCCTTCACCTCATCTTCCACAGAAGAGGGTAAGTGCTTGGATTAGATCAGTCTATACAGGGTATTTTTACAGCAACAGTTATTAATAAAGTTAGCTAAGCCTGATTAATAAGAAGCTATGGGCTTAGGGTGGAAGGGTTCTTTTCCTTTATATCCCTTCCTCTTCTCCTATGAATATTAAAGTACCCTCCACCACCACCACCAAAGTGAAAATGATGGTGAGGATGGAAGAGCAGAGAGATACAAGCAGCCAGATCTCTGATGGTCTTGGGGAGATTGCTTTTTGGTACCACCCTTTCCAGAAACATCTGACTTTTACACTGACAATTGTATGAGTATTATCCACAAGACAGAATGAGGTAGACGGGTATAGGTGATCAGAAGAGATCTGCAAGATATTAAGTGTAGATATGGGGTGGCGGGGGGAGGGTGTCAAATCCTGCATAGTCTGAGGCAAGACAACAAAGGTATACTATGCTGCCATGTAAATGCAAATTATTTCATTTTCCACACTGATTTGAATGGGGGGGAAAGCACTTGCCAGGTCAATTAACTATAAACCAAGTACTGCCGTATGCTCTAATAAAGATACCACACCTGTAACTACAGCAGAGATTGGGGTTACTACCTGTCTATGTTTGCAATATCATCTGTAATTTCCTATGTTCCATTTGGCTTCCACACTAGTGATATTAGCAAATTAAATCAGGGTGTGCAGGGAATCATACCCTGCCTTTCTTGAGTCTTTGATGGCTGGACTAAACTTTGAATTGCCCAGAGATATGAATTGATTTAGTTTACTATCTTGGCAGTCAGGAAAGGAAGGGAAGTTTCTGGGGTTTCTGTTTGGTTTGCTACCAGAGTATCAAGCATTAGTTAACATGGATCCAACAGGTAGATTCTTCTAATTACCAACCAAATCTATTCCCAGTGTATATTTGGGAAGGGGGTAAAAGCCTCATGGGAAGGGTCTATGATTCTTGAACTCAAGCCAGGTCTTCAAATGTAACCTGACTTCTACAAGCTTGTACTATGGTCAGTGTACCACTGTGGCTCTTTGGGGAAGTAAAGGGCGCCTAACTTCAGAGCTAGTCTCTTACAACCCCTAAAGGGTCTGGGTATTTCCCTTTCCTGAGTACAGTCAGCTTGGCATGTTCCCAGGTCTCCCGGGGAACATCGTAGAGGTAGAGTCACAGTGTACATCTGTGGCTTCATAGCAGGCCCTTTTCACGAAAAGACCTAGACTGCACCCCAATTAGCACCTCTGGTCTGTGACCTGGCTTAGATGAACTGAGACAAAGGAAATGAATTTCCTTTATGGCAAATGGAGTTAAATTTCTTCCTAACAGACTAGGAATTTTCTGTCTATACATGTTATATAGCACCTTAGTAGATTCCACAGTGATTTCTTTCCTAGGGGGCCTCACACTCAATGAGCCATTGCTACAGACTCCTGTTGATCTGAATACTCTGAGAAGCACTCTGTGTGTGTTGTGCTCTTGATCGTTAAGCATCATTACTTGGCTTTCTCCATGCCACGATCCTGGTATTCCTGTTGAGACCAGGGAACACAAATTCAGCGAGCATCCCAGGACTAGCATCAGTGGAGCTCTTAGACCCCTAGGGACAGAAGGGACAGTGGGGCGGTGGGGGAGGGGGGTAAGCTACAAGAACCCCGGAGAGACTCGTGTAGAGACATCTGCCTTAAAAGAGCAGTGATTCAAACAAAATTGCCAGTGAGGGCAAACCTGGAGGGAGAGAGCTACACTAGGGGTAAAACATTTCAGTCTTTTCCCTTCTAATAGCCTTCAGGAGCTCCCCTGGGGTAAAACCAACCAGAAGCCAGATGGCAAAGGAGCCTAGTGATCTGGTCAAATAAGTCAGCCTCTAGAGGCCAAGATAGAATGGAGGAGGTGCAGAACAACTTAGGTAAGTTTTCACCGTATTGAATGGAAGTGCCTGTGGGACAGCCAGAGACCATATGGGATCTAGTTGGCAGTTGGGAATATGGACCTGGAACTTAACAGAAATTGGAAAACTATCGATTTGAAAGTGTGAACTAGAATATTTTAGGTGGAACATGTAGAGTAAGAAGAAACAGGCCTGAAAAAAAAACACTAAAACATGCCGGGCAGAAGAAGAATGAGAGATGATTGGGGAGATGGGAGGATCACACAAACAAGTGTCTCAGAGGCAGTGATATTCAGTTAGTTATTGAGAAACGTCTGTGGAAGTTTTTAGAACAATGGGGATATGAAACTAATTTTTAAATAAATTTTAAGAAATCCAGTGCAAGTATCTCTACTGTTCAAATTAAGATAAACTATTAACTAAAAAATGGACACCAGATTTCAAAGATTTAATGTAAAAAATGAAAATCTCAATAATTATTATATGGACGGATATGTTGAAATAATATCTTCTATCTATTAGGGTTTTTTTGTTTGTTTTTTCCATCTGTTTCTTTTTCTCAACTTTTTAATGGCAAAAAATAAATTTAAAGTCATATGTAGTAGAATTTAATAAAATGCGAAGCCCTGGCTTACATCCTATTGCAGAAAAAAAAAATACAAAGAGGCGTTGAGTTTATTCTGGGGTCGAAGTGACAAAATCAGTTAAAAATGCGAGGAGAATTTGATGAAAGTCACAAACAAACACTGCAGGGCCTCAGAGGAAAGAAAGATGAGGGCTTGCCAGGGCTTCAGGAGGCCGAACCAAGCCTCGTTAAGCCTGGAGCTGGCCAGCTCAGGACTCGCGGGGCTCACGCGGCGCCCCGCCCCCCGCCCCGCCCCCGTCGTGAACGCGTCGCGCCAATTGACCCCGCCGCTGCGCCGTAGTCCGTCGCACAGCTGCGGGTCGCGATGGCGGACGTGTCCGAGAGAACGCTGCAGGTGTCAGTGCTGGTAGCTTTCGCCTCCGGAGTGCTGGTGG